TAAACGGAGGGGATAAAGAACTCTTAAAAAATTTAGTTTTCCTAGTAAGTTGACTCCGAATTTTAAAGATACCAAATTCGAGGTTCTTGAAAAAGACAGAAACATAGTAAAAGTTAGGGCAGAGGGTAGGACTCTCACAAGAAATGCATCGCACGTCAGGAAAATACCAATAAGCGCAAGCCACCTTGAGATATATTTAAACTCATCGTTAAGCAGCTCTCAACTGAAGATGACATTTACTCAGGATGACCAAGGAGTAGAAGAAGGAAAAGGTCAACGGCTTCGACAGTTCGCAGAAGGTTTGGCCTTCTGTTACAATTGACCGATTGTGAAGAGCGGAAGCGACGTAGTTAATGACTGAAAATTGTTAATAAAGTTGGTATTTAACATTAACAACCACCTGTCTTTATTGAGAGGGACTTACGGGTTACTACATATATGTTTTAATTTTGTAAGTAACAGTCCGCTGCGTTAAATTCGCAATTATTTATTGACATATTAAAATAAAAGCTTTGATTCGGTTGATTTTAAATGTTTTGAAGACAACAAAAAAGGGGACAGCGAGGACCATCGATAACACAGTCTTACAAAATTCAAAAAATTTGTTGCAACGGGGATGGGATGTTTTTTTTGGGTTGGGGGTGACGAAAGACTACAAAAAAAATTAAAAAAGGGTTAGTTAGTTGTAGAAATTTCACAGTAGAGGCAATTTTCCATTTTTCCCATTTTTCAAAAAATGACTCCGACTTTCTTACAAGTATTAGCTACATTTTTTATCCGATAGAGTTTATCATTACTTTGTTTTAAAGGTAATACTATTACGCAACTTTTAAGTCTATTTGACGTTTTCTAGATTATTGCTATCATGAGTTATGGCCAAAAGTGTAGGAAATTTTGTTCAATAAAATCGCATTTTTAGCAAGAAATGTAAAAAAATTCCTTTTTGGTGTCGTAGAGAATTCTATTACCAACATCCCCATAAATCTCACTACGAATAATTATTCAATTTTAACGTTCGTTTTTGCATAAAGGTGAAAAATTGCGTTATTGTTTCATTTATCAACCGAAACAGTTAGCTGTTTTGTTGTAGATTAAGTTAAAGTATTATACGCTTCAAAATTATTTTACCTACGTTTTCGAGGTTACTGAACAAGCTCCGTCATCAGAACTTTCATTCGACCAAAGAAATTCAATACAGTTGCAGTTTTAAGAAAAAAAACGAAAATCGGATAAAAATTTTAGCTAATACTTGTAAGAAAGTCGGAGTCATTTTTTGAAAAATGGAAAAAATGGAAAATTGCTTCTACTGCGAAATTTCTACAACTAACTAACCCTTTTTTTAATTTTTTTTGTAGTCTTTCGTCACCCCTAATCCAAAAAAAATACCCCGTCCCCGTTGCAAAATCTTTGTAAGACAGTGTAATTAAATGGATATGCTAAGCTGGCAAAATTACCCACCAGTAAGAACGCCGCCCAAATACCTGATCGGGATATGGATATGTTTTTTATTTTTTGTTAGTAATAATCCTCTTCTTCATTGGTCATTGAGTATTTCCCACTTAGTGTGAGGAGCAAGTGATGGTGTGCAGAGAGTGAGGTCAATATGTGTGTATGTATTGTGTGTTGAGAAGTGTGTGGGAGATTTGTCGTTAAGAATAATTAGTTGTGTGTTATCAATGAGTCTTTGTACTATTTTTCCTCGTTAGTTTGATGTGGGTGAACGCCAGGATGTGTGCCAACCATTAAAATCTCCTCTGAGTAGTGAGGGTGTTTGTTGACAAAATAGTGTGTTTTTGAGTGACTGACTTGCGACCGTTGAGTTTGGAGAGATGTATGTTGAAAATACGTTTAAATTTAGTTTGGATTGAATGTGTGGTATTAAGTGTAGTAAGTTGCTTCTTATAGTGAAATTATGTGAGACGAGTGTTTTTTGATCAAGATAAGTAGGTTGTTGTAGTTATTTATATAACCTTTCATATTCCATTGGATTATAATGAGGGACATTCTGTAGATATATAAGTATCTTTTAGTGGGTTTAACTTTAGGTAGGGTAGCGAGTACTTAAGTTTTTAGGTCTTACGTTAGTTTTAGGGGTTAAACAGATTCGTGCAGGTGCGATGTAAGTGTTTTGATATTGCAATAAATTTTTTATTGAGTTTGTGTTTGATGATTGTGAGTTTGTTGTGTTTGATGATTGTTAGTTTGTTGTGATTGGAGTTGTAGCGTTTTTGTGTTCGGAGTAGTGCCGTTTGTTAGTATTCTGGCGTAGGTTCCTCTTATTTGGTAGCCGTGTCGTTCAAAGTATATACTTTGTGCAGTTTTATGGTAAACTTTTTCTTTAATTTTAATAGCTGTAAGTTCCTGCTGTTTAAGAAAACTTGGGCACTTGCGGTCAAGGGGGCCGTGTCGGGAATCGATTTCTGAGTTATTGTATTTTTGCAGTTGATACAATTCTTTTCGTTAGAGCATGTATCTCCTATATCTGTGTGCTTTGTTTCTGAACAATTTGAACATGTCTCTACACTTTTACACACGATTGTTGGGTGTCCAAGTCGGAGACATTTTTTTGCAGCGAAGTGGAAGAGGTATGTAATCTTTAACGCGAACAGATTCATAGGCAACTCTTATCGTTTCTGGCAGTTTGGTGGTTGCAAATTATCACGACTAGGCCGGTTTCTATCAGAGCGTTGTCAGCAAGGTTCGTCTTGTTATAATTTTTTTTCATTGGTTTTCTAACTTTGGTAACCTTCTGAGATTTTAGCTCTTAAGTATTGTTGCTTCGTCGACATATCGTAATTCATTGCAATAAATTATTCCTTTTGAAAAGTTAAGAGTCTTGTGTTCGACTGCTGTTACGTCCATATCTGCAATTTTTGTCAATCTTAGGAGATTTTTTTTATCTGTATATTGTTTTTAGTTTTAATAAAAATTGACCCGTCTTTTAGTTTTTTAAAGACTCAACTTCCCCTCCGCATGCGTAGTCCACAGATTTTTTAATGATAAATATAGAAATTTTTTCAAGTGATTGGTTGTCTTTTCTTTTGACAACAACAAACTTCGGTTCACCAAGTCTGGAGTTGTAAGTTTTGGAGAATTTTTCCGGTGGTTCTTCCATGGTTTTGCGTGGCCTCAAGCCAAGCTTGGATGTCACTTGTGTATTGTTGTTGGTTTGAATTTTTCGTTCTTTCTATTGTTCTTGAATTTTTTTCGTTTAAAGATTTGCTTATAAGGTTTTTGGTGATTTGCTAAGCGGGGCTTTATGCTGGTGTAACACGACTTGTATGTTCAGAGGTTGACCACTACTAGTACCACTACTGTCTGACTGAAATTATAATACCCGTTTGCTCTGCAAGGGTATAAAAGTGATTATATCGTTGTTTTTCGGTCAGATACGCATAATTTGTAGAATATAGGGTTTTCTCTTGAACTTCGAATCAAATTTCATTTAAATCGGATGACTGTACTTTATACCTGTCATATGAACAATCGCCGAAAATATAGAAAATTAATAGAAAAATCGTCATAAATAGGGAGAGTGGGGATAGGTGAACCACTTTTTTTGTTGAACATTATTATGTCTGAACAATTCGACGTTAGGATCTGCTGTTTATAGGAATCTAAAAGAGCATTCATTTCTTTGCATTTAAAGTATTTTGTGAAAATAATATGTCACGTTTTTTTTAACTTTATGAGCATTTTAAATTTTTGGTCCCACCCGTGGGGATACTTGAACCACCCCACAAACATAGTTGAACCACCTTTCAGGCTAATGGAATATTTTGAAATGCGTGAGATATACGTGAAAATAACATAATTTGCGTCTATTTAGTGTCACACTAGCAGGTGATTTTTGGGAATTTTTATTTAAAAAACTACTTGATCAATTATTTTAAAATTTTCAGAATATATTTATACATGTTTGAAGAATATACAGTAAAATTTTTAAAGAAAAAAATTAAATATTTTTTCAGTTAGAGCCGATCTCCAACGGCGCTAAAAAAAAGTGCCTCAACTGCTGCAGTGATTCCGGCCCTCTCCGTAGATAAAATCAAAAAATGAAAAATTCTCGTTAAACTAGATGATATTGTCTATACAATGACCTACGATAAATAAAAAATATCAAAATTGACAAAATGGCGGTGTTTAAAAAAAAATCGAATTTTACCAAAAATTTTGGTCGTTTTTGGCCTGCCAAAATTCGGTTTTTGATCAGATAAAAAAATCGATAGGTCATTGTAGGGAGAACTATATTTAGAACATGTAAAAATTTGATAGTGATCGGATCATTAGTTTTTGAGTTATCACTGCAGCAAATTCGGAAAATGCTGTTTCGAGAAAAACGCGTTTAAAGATAAAATGATCGCTTGCACTGTTATGAGAGCGGCTGCTCTTAAAATTGCTATAACTCAAAAACTATTTGAGATATCGATTTGAAATTTTAATATGTTTTTTTTTTTTAAAGGTGTAATGTACCGAAACTTACCCTTAAGTTAACAAAAAATTTTCTAGAGTTCAATGCTACAGGCGGAGCACAATAAATTTTTCCCAAGAAAACGTCAGGTCGCAAATAGCTGCGAAAGGCGCACAAAAACTTTGATTAGTGATAGAAATGACAGCAGTTGATTGACGCGATCACGCGTACGTGTGATGTTAAGATTCCGACTGGATAAACAACACATATGAAGATGGTGCACACAATCCTGATAGAAGGTGAAATATTACTAGTGGTTCATCTATCCCCGTGGTTCACCTATCCCCACTCTCCCCTACATAAATTATGTATTTCGTTCGACATATTTGAGGACTGCAAGGGTACATAAACTTCGGCTTGCCGAATCTAGCTTCCTTTCTTGTTTATTTTGTATTTGTGGCATTAATTAACATAAAAAGGGTAGTTTACCCTTATGATTCTGAACAGCTTATGTATGTAAAATCATCCATAGCAACCATTTTATTATTTTTGTCAAATATTTCTAGCATTCAGAAAATAAACACCTCACTTTACTAAAGGAGAAATATATATATATTTTTTTTTAATTAAAGTTTATTTATAAAAATGTCTTACACAGAGGATATCGATTCGTGTGATTTTGCGAATATTTCGGAGCTGGATTCTGGCTCGGCGCCAGAGCCAGAGCAACTGGCTCTTCTTCCCCCAAATCATCCGCTCTTGTGCAAGTTTCAAGAGTCTCTAAAGGATCATTTGTTAAGGACTAAACAAGACTTGGAAAATGAAATTGCCGAAATAAAGTACAACGTCAAACTAAAAGAGCACCGCCGGGAAGAGCAAGGGTTGGCTTTGTATGAAATGCAGCAAAAAATGGCATCCCAGGAAGAACAAATTAAAGAAATATCTTCGGTAATTGAAAAGCACTTGAAATCTCGTGAAATAGAAGAATTTATTTCAAAAAATTTAAAACAAGAATACGAAGAAAAAATTAAGCTCACCAATTCTAAAAAAACGATATATCATGAAAGAATGGCTGAACTAGAAGATTTACAAAGCTTGGGCAGTAATATTAAAAAATGGACTTACGAAGTAGAGAATGAAGTAAAAAATGCTAAACGCATTGTGAGCAGAGATGAACAGCTACAAAAGCAGCTGTCTCAAGAAAAGCGAAAGTCGGATATACTCTTTTACCGCCTTGACATGGAAGTTAAAAAAAGAGAGTCGGAGAAATTTTCAATTTGTGAAGAAGAAGCTGCAATGAAAGAAATTGTCAATATCTTAAATATGAGCATAGCTAACGCTAATACAGACCTAGAGGTTTTACAAAATGAACATAAACGTCTTACACAAGCATGGAGTGAAGTGATTATTGCAATTCAGTTGAGAGACAACATTTTATTTCAAGTTCAGGATACAATAGGGTAAGAATCGGTAAAGGCTTATAACATTTATTTTTAAAGTGGTCTCTTTTTAGAAAATACAGGGAGTCAATAAAACTTAATTTGGCCGGAATAGAATCTGTTAAAAAACAAATTGGAAAGGAAATGGAACTAAATAAAAAACTGGAATCATTCAAACAACGTTTGGCTGACGATACTTATCTATTAAGACGGGATTGTACGTATTTTGATAAGTATATAATCATGTACCATACTAAAATTTATGTTTCTATTATGTGATTAATAACAAAATAAGTTATCCCTTCCATATCCTAACAGTTATCCCTTTAATAAATACATTATATGTATTATAAAATAACTTTTCATAATATCCTTGCATTCGCAACTCAGTGAAAGAGACACCTCAGACTCCATAAAGTATTTATATTCTTGATATTCACGTTCTAAATCGTAATACGTCCGTATGTTTGTCCGTCTATCCAACAGTCTGTTTCTATATAAACTAGTCTCTCAGTTTTAAAGCTATCATATTGAAACTTTACCAAAAGTTGTGTAGCTATTGCACGCAGTATATAAGTCGGAGTAGGCCGAATCGCGCGACTATATCGGATAGTTCCCATTCGAGAGACCGAAAAAAAAATGTTCACACCGTTGTTTTTCATCAAATCCACTTGATTTCTTCCAAATGGTGTTTTTTAAGTACTATCGAATTTGGAATTCAATTTTATCAAAGTCGGATAACTATATCATATAGGTGCCATAGGAAAGATTGAAAAATCTTTATAGAATTAACGAAAATTAACGGAAAACAATAAACGAAGCTAGCTTCGGCGAGCCGAAGCTTATAGATCCTCGCAGTCATGAAATATGTGTATCGAAGCTAAGTCGAATTTTCCATATTTATGATGATTTTTCATATTTTTATGATATTTTTTTCCTCGATTCAAGGATATCTAAAAAACTCGGTGTTCTAAAAATCATGCTCGAGGGATAAAAAGAAAGTCGTTATCATTTTTTTGCGACTATTTCCATATATTTTTGATCTTTCCTATGGCAGTTATACGATATAGTTGTCCGATTTTTATGAAATGAAATTCAAAATCCGATAGTAGTTAAAAAACACTATCTGAAAGAAACCAAGTCGATATGATCAAAACAACCTTTTTTTATACCTTTGCAATTTTAATCAGAAGTTTGCAACACTGTGAAGGAGACACCTCAGTCACCATAAACTATATATATTCTTGATCAGCATCACCATCTGAATCGAAATATGTATGTACGTCTGTACGTTTGTCTGTCTGTCCGTCTGTCCTCCTGTCGGTTTCTATGTAAACTAGTCTCTCAGTTTTAAAGCTATCTTGCTGAAACTTTGTCAAAAGGTGTGTAGTTATTGCACGCAGTATACAAGTCGGAACGGCCGGATCGGCCGGGTCGGCCGGATCGGCCGACTATATCAGATAGCTCCCATACGAGAGAATGAAATAAAAAATTCTCACGCCGTTATTTTTGATCGGATCGACTTGATTTCTTCCAGATGGCGTTTTCTAACTACTGTTGAATTTCGGATTTAATTTTATCAAAATCGGATAACTCTATTATATAGCTGCCATAGGAGAGATCGAAAAATATATATAGAATTAATGGAAATAACAACTTTTATATTGAGAAAAAAGTTTCATACAAATCGGACAACTATATCATATAGCTGCCATAGGGAAGATCGAAAAATATAAATATAAATAATCAAAAAAATTATAACGCTGTTGTCTTTTATCCCACGACCGGGTTTTTAAGAACATCGATTTTTTGAATACCTTTTTAATGATAAAAAAAACTTAATAAAAATCGGACAACTATATCATATTGCTATCATAGGAAAGATCGAAAAATCTATATAGAATTAACGGGAAAAATGATAAAATCGTTGTTTTTCATCAAAAAGCTTAATTTTTAAAACATAATTAATTTTCATAAAAATCGGACGCTTATACCATATTGCTGTCATATGAACGATACTAAGACTATACCTACACATCTCTTTAGACGCCTTTCTCCACGTAAACGCATCACAAATATATATTTTAGTTTAAAGTAATAATTTCCCCACCGTGCGCAACATGATAGTTGCTTAACTGTCACATTTTTTTTATTACGGTGTTTATTGAATTTTCTCTCCATGAGACTGACGACAAGTATTCAAATCTTAGCCTAATACATATAAATAATTAGTTAACTGGGTGGGGTGATCTCTTCGCCGTAGTCGTTTGTGGATAGTGTTCCAGGTAGAAGACCGCCTATTTGGATGAGCCTTTAGCTTGATCGTATACTTTGCTTTTACATTGTCGATTTCCCCTTTAACCGATCCCACGTTTAAACACCACGGTGCACCATTTATACTATAGTTCTCAGTATCTTTGATTGGACTCTCTGGATTACTTCTAGGTTACTAACGCTTGCGTCCCCCAATAGCTCGAGCCATATTTCCAAATTGGTTTGAGAACTGAATCGTACAGAAGTACCTTGTACTTTATTTAAGCAGAGAACGGTCATTAACCCATTGTAGGTTTGTTGCCTTTAATTTTAATTGTGTTCTCTTGGCTTCGATGTGCCTTCTCAAAGTAAGCTGTCTATCAAAGTGGACTCCAATATTCGTTACTTCCTTTGTTTGTAGAATATGAATGTTGTTTACAGATGGTGGGGGCCAAGTTTGTTTATTTAGGGTAAAGGTGACGTGTTTGCACTTTTGCTCGTTAATCTTTATCCAATAATTCTAGCCATATCTGAGATGAGGTGTTACATATTGGGTTGCTCTTATGGGGCACTTAGATCGACTTAAAAGCTGGGACTTGTCTGGCTTAAGAGTCATAGCGAAGACAGACTTTTTCCGTTATTGTGAATAATAGCCCCAATTCATCATGCTGTTGAATATCGTTGTGAGAAGATTTACTGCACAGTTCGGCAATTTCATAATCATTTCAGGGGAGATTAAATCATGTCCTGGCGCTTCCTTTTTTCTTGAGCCTCTATCACTCTTATCTGGAGTGTTGTTTGTTAGAAGCACAAAGCTATTGTTTACTAGATGGGCAGCAAATATATTTGCACTCTCTTCATTGCTGCAAGCCTCTCCTGTTTGTGTATGTAATGGCGTCTCGCTTTCGATTGGTGGACATATACTCGATTTTGCTTTCCACAGTGGATATCGTCTGCTGTTTGGGGAGAGATTCTGTAAGTATAATAGAATAATTGAGAACGATTATTTTCATCTTCTGGGGCTGTGCGTAGAAGATAGTTGGCTGTTTTAAGCCGCTCCTTCGAGGCAGGCGATCTGTGGGCTTGCCACTTCCTCCGAAGCCTTCTTTTATTGCGTAGCAGTTCGTTGATATGCCCAGAAGCTCGACTGTTGCTAAAATTATAATTAAAATTACAAGCCCATATAGTAGGTGTGGAGTGTTGAGCAGCTAGTGACATAACAGACACTAGTGCTTCAACTGAGCTATCAATCTCTTCTTTTTGGTACATGTTTGGGAAGCCATCAATATGGATACTTACATACTTTCAGTATTTACGCCAATTTGTTTTACTGGAAGTTAGAAGAATGGTTCGTTTTGAATGGTCGTATGGATGGTCGTAGCGAAGAAGTAAAATGGGCGAATGATCCGATGAAGGATCTGCTAAGTGTTCCACATGAACATGACCTCTAGGCACTCTTATTGTGATGGCAAAATCCATCAGGTCAGGCTTCTTATTAGGATCTGTTAGCCAATATGTAGGCTTACCTTGAGATATAAGGTCAAGCTTGTTTCTTGGTGTTATTACAGCGTTGTACAGCTTTCATCCTTGGTTGGTGAGTCGGGAGCCCCAATGGGGGTGTTTTGCATTGTCAACAGCCGCTATAAAGCGTAGGTGACCGGCACTCTAGATCAAAGAACTGTACAAAATCATCTTCGGAAATGGAAAAGCGTGGTGGGCAGTATACAGCGGATAGGTTTAATCAACTAATTTGGGTATTGATGTGAATTAATGTAGCTTGTAAATAGGCTGTTGCGTATGATGGCAACTTATATTGCCTGATGCGTTTCTTGATCAGTATGCCAGTGGCGCCAGGAGCCTTGCCATCAGGATGTTTTGTTTTATAAAATGTATAGCCATTAAGGTGAAAATAATTTTTGTTTGTTAGGTGAGTCTCTTATATAAGCATGGCGTCAATGTCATTCTGATCTAGGAACAGCGAGAGCTCGTATTTTTGCTGTGAAATGCCGTTCGCATTCCAGAAACATATTTTTAAGGAAACCTTCTAAACAGTGTTGTTTGATTAATAACTCCAGAAGGAGATTTTGAGAGCGCATATGTTTCTGCAGCGTTTGCTGTATTGCTACCATTGTGTTGGTTATAGTTACCAGCATTGCTTTTACGCCATTTTGTTTGAATTGTATGTTTAAAGTCGTTTGTTGGCCAGTAGTATCTTAAATCTTGTTGCCGCACTGTATCAGCAGTTGTTGGCCGACCGGTCAGCTTAGATACTGAGGCGTTAGTCCCGTTGTTGTTACTTAACGCCTGTGCCGGATCGCGGGTTTATTGTATATGGGATAGCTCCCATACGAAAGATTGAACAAAAAATTATTATATTATATTATATATATTTTTCGATCTTTTTAATGGCAGCTATACGATATAGTTTTCCGATTTTTATAAAATTTGAAAAGTTCTGAAAGAAATCAAAAGTCGATATGATCAAAAACGACGGAGTAAAAGTTTTTTTTTAATCTTTCGTATGGGAGTTATCCGATATAGTCGTCCGATCCGGCCCGTTCCGACGTATAGAGTATACTGAGTGCATTACTAATCAATCTTACATAGCAGTATTTGTACATTTTTCTTTAGAGGCGGGTCCTTTGAAGCTTGGTAGAAAGACAAGACCTGAACTTTGACACTAACTCAAACTTCGTTGGTGGTATTAACAAATAAAGGGAGTTATAAAAAAATTCACTCACAAAAACTGTTTGTGTAGCATAGTGAACATCAGAAAAGAGAAATTTCAAAGAGCGAGGGAGGGAGAGAGTGGGAGAGAATATCCAAATATATTCACAACATTTTTTGCGAATATAACAGTACAAAAAACAGATAGGAAATTAGCTTATTGTATGCTTAGTTCCTTACTCAGGAAAATGTACAACATTTTCTGGCAGTACAACAGTACAAAATTTATGTTTTTAA